TCAGAGAAAAGGCAGTGTTTACATTGCTCAATAGTAACCCCTCTAGATGCAGGCACTCAGATGGCCACTTGAGGGGCTTCCTATTTCAGTGCTGCACTATGTGTGGCACCTACGTTAATGCTGAACGCTCCACATAGAGATGCATTGATGCAGTGCATCTCTATGATGACATGTTGATTGGCACAGTGCATCATTTTGCTGTGCATGGACAATAGCCTCTCAATGTTTCCTATGGGAAAGCATTGGGTTGACTGAGATCATCATGTTTGAGTATTTCAGTCATGGAGGCGGGGCCAACTGTGGTGAGACCAGTTTGGCGATGGATAAAAGGTAAAGCAACCTTTTTACTCCACTATGAGGGGGCAGAGGAGATAGAGATATATAGATATATATATATATTCATTCTATCTCTATCTATCTATCATTTGGTGCAGCGTCTTTCAGCCAATTCTATGGGAAAACATTAGTTTGGTTGAGATCATCAAGCTTGATGATCTCAGCAATAGAGGCAGGGCCAGTCAAGTGGAGACCAGCACAGCGTGGGAAAAAAAGGTGAGTATAAACACCATTCCCTTGCGAATGGAAAGGATCTGGTAACCTAAACACCCACATCATGACGCGCACACACACAACCCATAACACACATGTGCTTACCCTGCCGCACGCAAACTCGCACATTATTGCTTGTATTGATATATCTGTGGGATTGTGCAGGTGGGCGGCATGCCGGGGGATCGCACAGGTGAGCAGGAAGTTGGGGGATTATGTAGGCGGGCGGCTAGCTGCGCGTATTGCTGTCAGACGGCTAGGCAGCTGTGATGTCCCTGCTCTGCTCCCCCACGCAACGCTTAGTGGGGCCGGAAAATATGATGTCATATTCTGGCCCTGGTCTCACTAAGTGGCGAGTGAGGGAGCATTGCGTGGACAACACAGCTGCCTAGCCACCTGACAGCAATACGCGCAGCTAGCCACCTGTTTCCATAATTCCCTAGCAGGCCTCCCGCCCACCGGGCTTACATATCCTAGTGCCAAGGCAAAATTCCTAAGCGCCATGGCCACCTGGCGCCTGGGATTTGTCGATCCCTGACTTAGGGCAAAGTGTATTTATTTATTATGTGCAAATTCATCCATGGTTTTAATGGATAATGCCATTTACAGCAGGGTTGTCTGTTAAATCTTTTATTAAATGCAAAACAAGCAAGGAGCTAATAAAAGACTTTCCTTATGGTTTCTGTAAGTGAAGTTCATTGAGTTGGGTATGCAGCAGGCTGAACAGCATTCTGTAAAAGTCTAATTTCGTAAAGCGGCTCTGTCACTTTTGAGCCTTACATTGATATAATCTTTATTAATAATTCTCTTTGTGTTATTTGAAATTCAAACACAATCAAAATATATACATGCAACAAAATAGGGACTACTTTATCTCATGTTATTGGCAGTCTTTGAGCAATGCTGTACATTAGGTAAAACACGACAAAAACATGCTTGACATATGGTAATAGTAGGTGAAGCAGGGCTTACCCAAATGAGCTTACAATGTTAACGGATGGAGGACAAATACACAGAGGTAAGTGAGGGAATCAAATGAACTGTGTATGCCATAAAGGATGGGAGGATTGTTTTGTAGGAGGGAGCATGATGAGACTGCAGTGGAAGGTTGTAGGTAGGGAATGAGGAATTAAGGTACAAGATGATAGAGTTTTCTCTTAAAAAGTGTGTTTTTAGGGTAGGGGGGTTTGGAGGGTTTGCAGAGATGGAGAGTTCACTGGGGTGTCAGGCTATTCCATAAAGGCAGCCCTGGAAAAGTCGTGTAGGTGAAAGCCTGGGGTGGAGGGGTGTGACAATGTGATAGTAACAGGTCATAAAGAGGCCAGTCTGCAAGATACCTCCTAATAAAGGAGGAAATGTAAGCACAGTAGTTGTGGACCGCTTTGTAAGTAAGCACGAGAGGTTTGAATCGAATCCAAATTGAAACAGCAACTGGCAGTGGTGAGTTTTGATAGTTGCAGTATGTAATGTCGATGAGTCTGGTATAGCTGTTCATCAAGGAATGTAGAGCTTCAATCTGGACACTTCTTAACCCGATAAGCGTGGACAAGCATTTTGGTTACATCCTGAGTGAGAAAGGGTTGAATGTGAGAAATGTTTTTCAGGGAAAAGCGACAGGAAGGGTCAGTAAATAAGCACACAAAGTCAACCTGCCTGTGGGATAGAGTTTGATATCTCTATTGACCTTAAGGTAAATAGGAACAGACTTCACCTTAGAGGGAGGAAAGACAAGGAGCTCGATCTTAGAGAGGTTGAATTTTAGGAATTGGCCCTTATTATGCATGCGTGAGATTTTCTATGAAAGATCATCCATTGACTTAGTTTTGTAGTCTCGAACATTTGTGAGAGTAGAATAGAGACAGCGGCTCCTGGCAGAAATAATTCACCAGAAGTATGTCAACGCCAAGGGCAGACTGCTTGAAGAGAAATTCTAACATTAGAAATACAAAGATCTAGTTATGAAGTTTGTGTCTTAATAATGTTTTTGATTTGTGGCCCCCTATACGGCAAAACCAAGATTTACTCCCTTTTTATCTGTTGCTGTGCCAGTATCACAAAGGATGCCACTCTGCCCCTGGATGGGATCCCCATTGCAGCCAATACAACACTTCTCCATAGAGAGAGAAGAATTGGGGGTGAGACTGCACATGCATTATCACATTTGAGAGATGCATTATCACATTTGAGATTTTGGAGATGCTAGTTGGTGTAAAAATTCAGAATATAGATTTCAAGATTGCAGTACGTTAATAGGAAACACCTCCCAAGGAGGTGTCCCAAGGGACAAATATAAACACTGATTATTCACGTAAAAGGCTGTGTTTAAACAACTGGGCTGGTCTCTTTGCACCGAAACCACCACATTAAGCTGTACTGGTTTTGGTCTTTAGAGGGTTCTATTAAGATCTGTTCTGAACAATGATCACTTCGATGGCCGTGCACCGACCGAGAACTCCAAAGAACTGAACAGTCTTCCTTCAGCTACAATTCTCATAACTCTGCGATGGCTTATACGATATGTACGACGCTCCAAACTAAAGATATGGTTTCCAGGCTGGTGTCCTCACTATGCATTGTGATTGCTTGCAGATTTGCATGTTGGGAGAAACATGCCATAAATATAAACAACTTAGTAGATATACTCCCATTAAAATATTTATGTAATTTGCTTGGCGTGGTTTTGTTTTTTCCTTTGGGAATATATGAACAATAGGCCAGCCATAGCTGCAGATCTTGAATCTGCAGGTACTGCAAGCTCTTCTTTACCAGAACAGATTTTCAGTGGCTGTCCAATCAGTCTGTTCAGTAAGCTGTGTTACAGCTCATTGAGAAGTCTTTGCCTCTCGAATTTAGTGCTACAGAGTTAAACTACCAGGAGATTTCTGTTGAAATCCATACAAAAATGAGGAAAAAAAGAGGATGCACTCCTCACTCATAAAGTACTTCCGCAAGCATGTGTTTGGGGTGTTACTTAAATTTCTTAGCCCATTAACGGGATACTGTAGTCACCAAATCAACTTAATGAAGCAGTTTTGATTTATAGCTCATGCCTCTGCAGTCTCACTGCTCAATTCTCTGCCATTTAGGAGTTAAACTATTGTTTTCATGCAGCTCTAGTCACACTTCCCAGCATGTGACTAAAAGCCTTCCTAAACACTTCCTATAAAGAGAGATGTCTAAACTTATGTTATTGCACATTTTGTTTAATTTAGAAGAGCCTGCTGGAGCCTCTTGTTTTCCTCATTTTCCTGGCACTTTAGTATTATTAGGTCCCCCCCACCCTCATGGCCCCCTCCTGCCGTGCTCAAGTGGGGTTAAGGGGTTAAAATTTTACCTTTCCCAGCGGCGCTTGGGACTCTCCTCCAACTTCCGACGTCATTGGCTGAATGCGCATGCGCGGCAAGAACCGCGCGCGCATTCAGCCAGTCCATACGAAAGCATCCTAAATGCTCTCCTATGGACGCTGGCATCGTCTCACTGTGAAAATCACAGTGAGAAGCGTGGAAGCGCCTCTAGCGGCTGTCAATGAGACAGCCACTAGAGGCTGGATTAACCCTATTGTAAACATAGCAGTTTCTATGAAACTGCTATGTTTACAGCAGGCAGGGTTAACCCTAGATGGACCTGGCACCCAGACCACTTCATTGAGCTGAAGTGGTCTGGGTGTCTATAGTGGTCGTTTAATAACTTCTAAAGCAAGTTAACACTCTTTCCATGCAGGCTGTGTCAGTCACAGCCAGGTTAGGTGTGGTTAGGTTTGCACAGACAGAAACAAAAGTGATTTAACTCTTTAATGGCAGATAATTGGACTGTGTGTGGGAATGAGCTATACACCAAAAATGCTTCATAATGCTAATGTTGTTTTGTTCCCTTTAACCCCTTAAGGACCAAACCTCTGGAATAAAAGGGAATCATGACATGTCACACATGTCATGTGTCCTTAAGGGGTTAAAGGAACACTCAAAGGTAGGTCACCTTTAGCACTCCAGATGTGGACTACATCTCCCCTGCATTATGGTAGTTGTAGTCTTCATCATTTAGAATGCTGAAGGTTGCCAACGCTGCTCTACGTTAATAAATGCATGTACAAAAAGTAATTTTATATTTTTTATTTTCTCATAGAGAGATTTTCCAAATTCACAATATACTTATCTAGTATTAGATTCACTTACACACTCTTTGTGCTCTGCTACAGCACGCCAGGTAAATTAAAGGACCTGTCCAGCACCATTTGTGTGGTGGTGACCTGTGACACTCCGCTGTTTAACAAATAGAGACTTCACCAATGTGTTTTATTAAGTAGAATATTACCTCCCTTGCTTCTACAAAACTGTTTTCTGTAGCTATCTGCATAATGCTGGTTTTAAATCTCATGCGAATTAACCTTTAATCAACTTGTTTTGCAGGGGTCATTGACATGTACATACCGGTGCTGGCAGGTTACATGTGACATGACAAAAATAATCCAATGGGTCACCACGATGGCTTCAGAGACTCCGAAATCTGCAGTGTCTTTGGTTGAACAAGGGTCAATTTTAAATAACTCTTCGCTCCACCTGGTGGGCTATTTGGGAAAAGTCAGTGAAACTTTACTGTTTTGTTTTGTCTAAATATACATATTTTTTCATTTTTTTTTTTTTTTTACCTGCGCAATTTTTCCTTAACATTTTGTTCTCTCACGGAAATCTTTTTTTCATTTTTTTTATTTTATAAAAGGCGAAAGATTTAAACATTTTTTAATTTTTTGCTTGCAATATAAATATTGTATTTCTTTTACTAAAACCACCACTTTTACTCTTTATACACCCAACACCCACTGGTGTAACAGTTGAATGTTTTGCTGTGTTAGAAAATGCAGTTTGCAATCTAGTAAAAAAAAAAAAAAAAATAGGAGTTCCCTTTAAATTGTTGCACGTTTGGTGCAAGTATTACATTATTGGTACAGGATATCCAGCTTGTTTTGTGAAGTTACAGTAGGACTAAGGATCTTATCTTACACGAATTGCATTTGTAAGCCATTTTCTTCATAATTTCTTTAAAATAATGCCTATTGGGATCTACATACTTCATTTTAACCCCTTAAGGACACATGACGTGTGACATGTCATAATTCCCCTTTATTCCAGAAGTTTGGTCCCTAAGGGGTTAAAACTTACACAATGGTTAAGTATTCCATCCATGGATAAAGTATGCGTTTGATAAGGCATTTTATTTTATGAGCTGTAATATATTTTATCATTTAAAGTGCTGGTTCTTGAAAGTAATGTTTTATACTTATCACCTACTAAAGGTATTGCTTTGAAATATATTATCTTCCAAAATGGATCTAGAAAATGCGGTTTTAACTGGTTTGTAATTTTCCAAAGTTCTATAATGCAGTTTTGTTTTCCCATAGAATTTTGAGACTACTACAACTTCTCCAGATGGATACTGTCCAGTATGCAAGGCCAAAGACAAGAAGCAAGCACTCCGTACATACCGGCTTAATTTCACTCAGTCAATATACCTGTGTTCTGATCCTCAGGTATGTTCAGTTTCTCGTATTCTTTTGGGGCGTCATTTGCAACTATGTAGACTTAAAAAGTTCTATCGCAAATTTTTACAGCACATATGTCAAGCTTAGTGTTCATGTCTAACACGTGAAAGAACAGGTTACTGTTTATTTAAAGCAACACTCCAAGCACCATAACCACTACAGTGAGCTGTTGTGTTTATTATGGAAAAATGTGCGCCTGCACCCGTTTATTAGAAGTAACCGAACATTTTAGTAACCCGATAGCTTACTGGATTGATGGAAGAAGGAACTCTCTCGTCCAGATTTGGAAGTGAAGTTCTAACTGGTATCAGAATTTCCTCTCGTCCATTAGCCTGCTCTGGAAGTAAAATATAGATCTGTCTAGTAGTGTAAAATTTTTAATTTTGAGTCCTTGTTTTAACATTGTGACATTTGCCTGAGATGTATTTGTTTCTTACATTTAGTAAGTTAATATAGATTCCTCCCCAGCATTGTTATTCACCAAAGTTAGAATTGCCAGGAATTCTAAACAAATTTTCATAATTTTTAGACCTGTATAGCCGAACTGGAAACATAGATGAACTAAAATACTGTTAAGTGATATAAAAGGTGCTGAAATAAAGTAAATAGTGTGCAGTAAAACTCTCAAGATAGTGACTGGTTCCTTCCCCCTACAGTCAGAAAAGTGAAACCTATCGCAATACAAAAGAATGAGATGTGCCCAAAAAACTTTAACTGATCAGTTGATATCCTTGTAATAGTGTTTGTGCATGAACAATGAAAACAATTTAGAATAAATGTTGCACTAAATATTTATTAAAAATGTTTGATTTTATTCCTTACTAGGTTTAGATTCAGGCTCCCACTTGAGTATCAAAGAAAGCTTTACCTGTAATCCAGGGTTATGTCAGACTCCATGCAGTAGCCCAGTGCTTACTGTGATATCTTTGGTCCAGTTAGCTGTTGTAGAAAAGCGTAGAGGACGTATGATACCTGGTTAGGAATTGCTGCTCACTTAATAGCATAAAATCCAATGCTTCTCTGAGTAGCTTTAAATGCATTTTGTAGCATTATGATGTGTGAAAAATCAAGCCTTAAAGGACCACTATAGTGCCAGGAAAACATACTTGTTTTCCTGGCACTATAGTGCCCCGAGGGTGCCCCCACCCTCAGGGTCCCACTCCCGCCAGGCTGGATGGAGAGGAAGGGGTTAAATACTTACTTTTCTCCAGCGCCGGACTCTCCTCCGCGCGCATTCAGCCAGTCTCATAGGAAAGCAGAAAATCACAGTGAGAAGCACGGAAGCGCCTCTAGCAGCTGTCAATGAGACAGCCACTAGAGGCTGGATTAACCCATTTGTAAGCATAGCAGTTTCTATGTTTACAGCAGAAAGGGTTAATCCTATGTGGACCTGGCACCCAGACCACTTCATTAAGGTGAAGTGGTCTGGGTGCCTATAGTGGTCCTTTAAGGAGGAAGTGCCTCTTGTGGCTGTTAGTCTGGTCTTCACATTCGACATCATCACATACAGCAAGGTCATGTAAATGCTAATAAAACAACTCTCTTAACTCTTCTATCTCAATATCTGGGCGCAGCCTTTGGTTCTCCTCTGCCCATAATGTCTAACTTGAACCTCTGTTCCATCGCATAGGCCAAGTTCTCCCCTCAGCCTGATCCTCCTAGACTGTCATCATACCACCTAGCTGCTGTGGAAGATGTGCTGTCATTGGTTGCTGACACCAGACCCCAATTTAGAACAGAAATCATGTTATCCAGCCCAAAACTCTTTTCTGTTCTGGAGTATGATATCCTGATGATACTGTAAGAGGTGGAGTTAAACTTCATATGTTCAGCATTTCATAGTGAGATGCTACACATAAAGGCTCCATGGCCACTTCAAAACAGTGAAGTGGTCATGGTGCTTGGAGTAACCATACAAATGTGTAGTATATTTTAATTGCTGTTTTGGATTTATTTAATGAATGGCTGTCTGTTTTTTTTTTTTTTTAGTGTATTTATCCCTTGGGATACACACCTTTGGCTGACGTAATTAAAAACACGGAGGACTTAAAGAAATCATGTCACCAAAGCAAGCAGAAAAAGCGTAATTTCTTGGAAACCTCTCCAACCAACAAAGCTTGTATTAAGAAAATGAAAACTGATCCTTCTGTCTTTATGGACTTTGACTCAAAAAATAACTTTTCTTGTTCTCAAGTAAAAAACTCTAACCATGCACCTCTCACTGTGACACCAGCAAGTGGAGTAACAATGGTACCGAACCCTTCCATGTTTTGTTTAAATGATTACAGACTGCAGACAGAGCAAAACTTGATGGAAAGTTTAAGCCATTGCAGTAGTAGTAGTACCACCACATTATTACTGAATGGGAAACGTGAATCCCCAGATGATGAACCAAAACGGGAGTTTTCACAGGATCATAAAATGCTCCATGTAAAAGAAATGCAAAAAGAGCTTACTAGACTTAATGATTTAAATGATGGTACTGCTAGCAACATTTCAAAACTTACAAGCATGATTAATGGGCATGAAGAAAATATGGGCAATAGTTCAGATAAAGTAAATGCCAGTGTTATCAATGACTATTCGGAAGTACAGGAAAATAGACCCACTGCATTCAGTTCAGTGACTGAAAAGATTGTATGTGAACCTTCAGTTCTAATGCATGTGAAGTATGGCGTTGAAACTGTGAATGCAACATGCTCTTCAATTCCAAATTCTGAAATTATAGAAGCTATTGGTTCCAATCTCTGTGGTCAGATTGCTGGGGAATTGACTGGTTCTCTTAAATGTACATTGCAGAACTCTGAGCCTGGAAAAGATGGGCAAGAAGACTCCGCTTTGGAAGTGTTTAGTGCTTCGGTCAACATGGTGGAGTTAAGTGATGATAATCTAAATCTATCCAACACATTAATAGAATGCAAAGTATCAGAACCAGTTGGTTTAACCAAGCATGGTCAAAGTCCATGTAACCCTAAAGATTCTGCCAGTACCCTGCAATTTGAACATGGTTTGCAAGAAAGTTCATTGGTCAAGGTGGGCACAGAAGCAGCTGTTGTACATGGCAATGGAGGTGTAACTCTATCAGACTCCTCATTAACAGAATGTAAAGTATCAGAACCAGTTTGTTTACCCATACATGGTCATAGTCCATGTAACCCTACAGATTCACCAAATTTCCTGGAACAAAGCAGATCTGAGCATGGTTTACAAGAAAGTTCATCGAACAAAGTGTGTAGTGAAGCTGCTGTTGTGCAAGGCAATGAAAGTATGACTCTGTCAGCTATGTCGTTAATAAACTGTAAAGTATCAGAATTCGTTTGTTTGCCCGAACATGGGCAAAGTCCATGTAATCCTATAGATTCTCCTGATCTGCAAAAAAGGCGGTCCGAACATGGTTTGCAAGAAAGTTCATCGATGAAAGTGGGCACTGAAGCACATGTTCAGGACTCTGAGCCTGAAAAAAACAGGCAAGAAGACTCTGCTTTGGAAGTTTTTAGTCCTTCAGTCAACATCGTGGAGCGAAGTAATGAAAATCTAAATCTGTCAGATACATTAATAGAATGCAAAGTATCAGAACCAGTTTGTTTAACCAAGCATGGTCAAAGTCTATGTAACCCTAAAGATTCTGCGAATACCCTGCAATTAGAACTTGGTCTGCATGAAATTTCGTCGATCGACGTGGGCACTGACGCAGAAGCTGTTGTTCTTGGTAATGAAAGCATGACTGTGTCAGACATATCATTAACAGAAGATAAAGTATCAGAACTAATTTGTTCAACCAAGCATGGGCATAGACCATGGGACCATACAGATTTTCCTATTCTCCTGCAACGAAGGACGTCTGGACATGGTTTGCAGGAAAGATCCTTGAACGAAATGTGTAATGAAGCAGCTGTTGTGCAAGCCATTGAAAGAATGACTTTGTCAGACACATCGTTAAAAGAGTGTAAAGTATCAAAACCAGAATATAACTCTACAGAATCTCTTAATCCTCTGCAAAAAAGATCTGAGTGTGGTCTGCAAAAAAGTTCATCAATCAAAGTGTTAACTGAAGCAGCTGTTGTGCAAGGCAATGAAAGTGTGACTCTGTCAGACACATCAGCAACCGAATGTAAAGTATCAGAGCCAGTTTGTTTAACCAAGCAGGGACAAAGTCCATCTAACTCTACAGATTCTTCTAATCTGCAGCAAAGGAGATCTGAATTTGGTCTGCAAGAAAGTTCCTTGATCAAAGTGTGCACTGAACCAGCTGCTGTTCAAGGTGATGAAAGCGTGACTCTGTCAGACACATCCTTAACAGAATGTAAAGCATCAGAGTCAGTTTGTTTAACCGAACCGGGACAAAGTCCTTGTAACTCTACAGATTCATCTGATTTGCCAGAAAATTCCTTAATTGAAGTGAACACTGAAGTGGATGTTGTACTAGTCAATGAAAATATGACTCTGTCCGACACATCATTAACAGAATGTAAAGCATCAGAGTCAGTTTGTTTAACCGAGCAGGGACAAAGTCCTTGTAACTCTACAGATTCATCTGATCTGCTGCAAATGAAATCTGATTTGGCAGAAAATTCCTTTATTGAAGTGGATGTTGTACTAGTCAATGAAAATATGACTCTGTCAGACACATCCTTAACAGAGTGTAAATTAACAGAACCAGAATGTAGCCCAACACATTCTCTTAATCCCCTGCAACAAAAGAGAGCCGAACATGGTTTGCCAGAAAATACACCAGATGAAGTGGGCACTGAAGCAACTTTTGTGCAAGGCATTGAAAGTATAAAGCCAAACAGTGCTTTATTAGTTAAATATGAATTACATAGAACCCCTGATTTGGTTCAAATATGTCAAAGAGAAGTTAAGCATGCTCGCTCACCTAGTTTGGTGTCCATACCAGTGGAAGGAAATTCATTGATGGAAGTGTGCAATACTGATCTTGTTACAACTCTCCCTTCAGTAAACACCTGCAATACAAAAATAGTTCTCTCCTCCTTAGGAGACACAATAATGGGTAGCCCTATCAGGCAAAATAATGTGGTGGCAATGGCAAGCCCTTTCAACCATGTTTACACTGAAGAGTCTAAAGATGTCCCAGAGCCAGAGATGTCTTCACTTGTGCCTGTCTTGCAGAGAAAATGTGTAAACCTCTCTGCAGAAAAATCGTGTCCTACAGATAATGCACCAGAAGAGCCATTGCTGGATCCTCAGCCAGCTTCCGAGAAGGCTAATCCCCAAACTCCGAATAAAACCTGCAAATATCTCCAGTGGAGAAACAAATTTTCTCTTTGTTGGTTAAACTGCATATTGGCTTTTTTGGTTCATTCCAGCACACTCAAGAACTTTGTGGCAGAAAGTGGTTTTATGGAGGAATCCGTCATTCATATACTTTTTGCAAAATACAAGGAAGCAAATGCTATAGTGACATCGACCAGCCACAGAAGCAAACGAGGTATTTATAAACATACTTTTTCTGTGTACTCCCCTTCTTTGATATCCGTTTTTTGTTTTTCATACTAAATTGCTTAGAAAAACAAAATGTAACAGATGCTTCTCGTCCTATATGTAAGTGACTCTTTAGCTTTGTAATGCTTTTCCTGTAGGTAAGCCCTGGCTAGCAGCAGATTGTCTGACACCAAAGGTGTATACATTTAAAAAGAATAATAGTTTTTAAAAGTAATTTTAAAGTTCATTTGTCCTATAGAAACAGATCTGATTTAATGTTTACTTTGCAGGTTATCCAAAAAATCTTTCTGCAGCTCAAAAATGTCTGGAGGAAGTCAGAATGGTACTCTTTGACACAATCAAGATTCCTTTGAAGTGCAAGTTGGGTAAGTTACATTTTTTGTTTTGTTTTTTCTTTCATATATACATTTATCTGCTGGTGAGGCATTTTTGGTTCACACATACGAAAGTAACTTTCTTCACTGTATGCCTGAAATGAATGGGTGTCAGTGATTGCTGCACCTATCTTAATAGCTTTCATGGAAATTCTTCAAATCGTGACTTTCCTCTTTTACATATCCACCAGTGTTTGACAGCGTCTTTGTATCATTCCCAGGAATTATCAATGAAGATGATAGGATCGGTTCTGGGTTGAGTGGGGAAGTGCCCAGATATATTCTTTGCGCATTAACGTTGACAATGAGCACTAGAGGTTACGGAGTATAGAGTGCACCTTTAATCTAGACATTTAAACGAGACATGCATAGATATCTAGATTAGATTTTTTTTTTTTTTCTCTTTTATTACATGAAGCATACTGAGTTACCAACAAATGCACAGAAAGCTTAATGAAAACCGCCTTCAGTATTTAAAAAAAAAAACCCCAAAAATATATATATATATATATATATAATTGTTTTTTGTTTTTAAATGTAATGGCTAGAAAAAACCAAACCAAAAGCAAAGGAATTTGAATTATGTCTATTTACATTCTAATGCATTTGAGTGTAATCTCCTTTTTAAAGGGTTCTCTTTGGGTAGTCACATTATTTTCTTTTAACAAAGGATACATTTTCTAACGAACAATGTAATTTGCAGCTTATTTTTAATTCGGTGACACCCCTTCTTTTCAGGTGTCTGGAAAGTGACTTAAAAGTGGTTTATGGAGTAGTGGACTGCATTATAGTGTAAGTAGAATTCGGCCTGCAAGATCTTATCCGAATTGGATGGTATTGAATTCTAAAAAAATCCCCAAACACCAGGACTATTTTGGTTATATTAAAGGTGCACTGAAGGCTGTAGTTGATTCCTTTTTTTTTTTATTTTAATGTATTATAATTAATGAAATTTTGATGGTCCCAAATATCCAAGTTGTCGCTAAAACACCAGTCTATCCATCTGTGAAAACTTTTAAAACCACAGAGCGTTGCTCGTTCAAAAAGGGGCTCTGCCAATAACATGTTCTGTCAGTAGCTCGACAAACCTTTTGTTAGTGATAGGTGGACAGACAAGTGTGTGCTGTTAAGACTTGGAGGCAATATTGGGGGGTGATACAGGGTCTAATTGTTATATGGTCCATTTATAATCAAATTACATTTGTGAATTTCTTCTTTTAAATGACAGCGGTATGTTAATTGTACACTTTCAGATTATGCAACATTTTGGATCTTATGAAAATCATTTTAAAGTTTAGCAGATTAAGCAGCCTATTTTTAGTAAAAATATTTGTGAGCATCATTTTCATTGATGACTTTGTGCATGCGTGATGTTCTCATTCACAGTGGAGAAATCAATGATTGTGGTGTGGAGGAACTGGAATAGCTTACACAGAGCCCTGATCTCTACCCCACTGAACATCTTTGGGATTGTTAGAATTAACAATGTAAAAAAAATTTTTTTTATTTTTTTTTAAATGCTTTTGGGTGAATGGGCACCAATTCCCACATGCGGAATTCAAACTCTTGTAAAAAGCTTTCCCAGAAGAGTGGTAGCTGTTATAATGGAGTTGTTCCCTTCAATTATGACTATAATGCCCATGTTTTTAATACCAATGTCCCATAAGGTCATATAGGTGTGATGATATGGTGTCTGCACACTTTTGGCCATATAGTGTATATTTTAATGTTTGTGGGTTTTGTTGCACAGAGAAACCTTTAAACTATTGTAAGTTTTAATTAGTGTCATTTTTGGCAGGTACTTCAGATGTATGGTGGTTTTAATGGAATCTGTTATGTTTGCGTGGTATCGTGTTGTGTGTTGTTTTTTTTTTTTTTTTTTTAATGAAATATCTTCCTGGGTGGTGTACTCACAATTATTACAGTCAGGGTTGTTCAATGGGTAAACTTTTTTTGCCTTATAGACTTTTAACTATTTTTTTTTTTTTTTTTTTTTTTTTTGTAGTGCACCTTCAAATATTACAATCTATATTTGTATCAGCCAAGCTTTGCAAGAATAACCATTTGTTATTGCAATTTGTAATTAACACTACTAAGATCTTATTTGTAGATCTAATCTCCCTAAATATATTGATAATTGTCTTCCATGTGAAAATAAAACTGGAGAGAGAATTCTATGTGCACTAAGCTGCCATTCAGCCCCGCTTGATGCTATTCATTTACTAGCCAGCATGGTGGATTTAATTTAGATTAAATCACTTGTCATGAAATGGACATGCATCACTTGAGACAGGTTGCATTCACCTGGTCTTTTTTAGCTTGCAGAGTGACGCAACTGTCTACCGTATATACTCGAGACCCCTAATTTTACACCCCAAAAACGGGAAAACTTATTGACTCGAGTATGAGACTAGGGTGGGAAATGCAGCAGCTACTGGTAAATTTCTAAATTAAAATTAGATCCCAAAAAAATTATATTAATTTAATATTTATTTACAGTTTGTATATATAATGAATGCAGTGTGTTTGTATGAATGCAGTGTGTATGAGTGCAAGTGTGTGTGTATGTGTTGCAGAGCCTTGGTGGAGGTTGGGCATTTTTATTTTTTTTATATATATATTTTTTTATTATAGTATTACTTAATTTTTTATTTATATTTATTTCCGTCACCCCTCCCTGCTTGTTAGCTGGCCAGGGAGGTGGGCTTTCATTCCTTGGTGGTCCTGTGGCATTGGCTGTGCAGGAGGGGGGCTGGCAGAGAGCTGTTATTTACCTTTCCTGCAGCTCCTGTCAGCTCCCTTCTCTCTCCTAGGTTCCGGTCAGCTCCGTTCTCCTCCACTGTAAGTCTCGCGGCCGCGCGGAACGTTCCCCGCGGCTCTCGCGAAATATACTGGGGAGCTGACCGGAACGGAGGAGAGAGAAGGGAGCTGCAGGAAAGGTAAGTAACAGCTCTCTGCCAGCCCCCAACAGGACTGCCGGGCTAGTATACGAAATATACATATGTCCATATACATAATTACATGAATAATTTAATAAATATACACGTAGACTTCAAATATATAAATATGTATATATTTTAAAATTCTGCGTGCATATTTATGTATTATTTTTACCTAATTAAGTAATTTTATTGATTGCAATTTGAGGGACATGCCTGACAACCCAGGCCGAAAGAGAATTTAATTTACTAGCACTGTGTTTAACCCTGTAACTTTCTATGACACCCTAAAACCTGTACATAGGGCGTACTGTTTTACTGGGGAGACTTCGCTGAACACAAATATTAGTGTTTCAAAACAGTAAAACATATCACAGCGATGATATTGTCAGTGAAAGTGTTTTGCATTTTTCACACACAAACGGTACTTTCACTGATGATATTGTTGTGATACGTTTTACTGTTTTGAAACACTAAAATTTGTGTTCAGCGAAGTCTCCCGAGTATAACAGTACCCCACATGTAGAGGTTTTATAGTGTTTGTGTGATGACTTTGTGTTTGTGTTTTTACAGGGTCAAATATAAGGCTTGATTTTACTATTTTTATTTTTTTTTTTTAATTGAAATTTGTCAGATTGGTTATGTTGCCTTTGAGAGCGTTTGGTAGCCCAGGAATGAGAATTACCCCCATGATGGCATACCATTTGCAAAAGAAGACAACCCAAGGTATTGCAAATGGGGTATGTTCAGCCTTTTTTAGTAGCCACTTAGTCACAAAAACTGGCCAAAATTAGCGTTTTTTGCATTTTTAACACACATACAAATATAAATGCTAACTTTGGCCAGTGTTTGTGACTAAGTGGCTACTAAAAAAGACTGGACATACCCCATATTGACTGCCCTGGGTTGTCTACTTTAAAAACATATGTACATGTGAGGTGTGATTCGGGGATTTATGACAGATAACAGTGTTACAATGTCACTATTGATAAATTTAAAATATATATATATATATATATATATATATTGAAACAGCAATTTCCTATTTGTACTTATAGCCATATAACTTGCAATAAAGCATGTAAACACTGGGTGTTTTTAAACTCAGGACAGAAATTTGAATCTATTTAGCAGTTTTTTTTTTTCATTAGCTTTTGTAGATAAGTAAAAGATTTTTCAAGTAAAAGTCCAAAAACATGTTTTGTTCAATTTTTCACCATATATTTTTTTATTTATTTTTTTTAAAGTAAAATCTATGACATGATACAAATAATAGTATGTAAAGAAAGCCCTTCTTGTCCTGAAAAAAACAATATATAACTTGTATGGGAACCGTAAATATGAGAGAGGAAAATCAGCTAAACACGAACACCTCAAAAGTGTCAAAACTGCCCTGGTCCTTAACGTACAACATGGCCAAAACAGGCCGGTCTTTAAGGGGTTAACTATAAATAGGACAATTACAAGAAAACTTACAGGAACGATAGGTTGAAGAGGACCCTGCTCAAACGAGCTTACAGTCTATATTATGATGCAGTGGCATATGAAGCAATTGGGGGCCCCCCATTCTCATTATGGCCCCCACCCGCCGCCCAGGGGTGGGGGGAGTACTGCGCTCCCCCCCCTCCCCCCCCCCCTCATTCTCACTGTTTAGGGAGATTAATAACCTGCATGAACAAACTAACACTGATACACGGATACACTGATACATTGTGTTAGTTTGTTCGGCTGATATTTCTATTCACTCATTCGTCTGTCTGATGAATGAATGAATAGATGAAATTCCCGTTCGCATGTCCAGGTGTTTCACTGGGCATGTGCGGGAATCTCACAGTCTGCCTAGTGTGGGCTGATGACGTGTCCCTGAGGGAATTCATCTACCCACACAAAGATGGCGGCGCCCTGAATATAGATCGGGGCAGAAAATAAGGATTAAAAAAAAGGTAATGCTGGGGGCTTAGGGGCATTTGGGGGTGACTAGTGGGTCAATTGGATGTAGTGGAGGCGGGAGAGGGGTTAAAAAAAACAAAACAGAATTCGGCATGACAGTGCCGCTTTAAAATGGTGGTGCCCAGTTGCAGGGCAAAGAGGTGTGGATTTTGCACGTTTAATTTTTATTTTCACACCTATCACAAATACACACATACTTATTGAATATGGGGTAAGTAAACTTTTTAAAAATCCTGTGAAATTATAGTTTATTTTTAAGAATGAGAAATGTTAAAATATGATTAAGGATCAGTTCAGTAAGAAATGGTTCTGTGAATAATCCTTTTAAATGTTTCTATTTTCTCCAGGATTGTACACCTTTTAAAAGAAACCATTTTGATTCTGAATATATTAGCTGCAGATTAAACTGCCAGTTGTTGTTTGCGCTGTTTGATGTGGTGTACCTGGATTGATTGTAATGCCATTCTTTTTTTTTTTTTTTCTCTAACAGGAGATAAAGAGACCCCAGTCTTTGCATTACCTTTGCTACTGAAGCAGGATCCCAAGTTTGAGGAGCTATTTGTGCATTCTTATTCGTGGAGTTTTTCCTGTAACTTATGTGGATACCAACATCAGGAGTGGTAAGAGCTTGTGTTCCATGTTAATAAGGAGTTAAAGGGCAGCAAGAGATGTGCAACTTAAATTCGACCTATATACAATTTAAAGAAACACTCCAAGTACCTGTAGTTGTACTGGTGTGTATAGCTTGTCTCGGCAGGCATTTTAATGTAAACACAGAGAAAATGCAGTGTTTACATTGGTTCCTTGAAACGCCTCCAGTAGACGTGATTCAGGCGGCCACTAGAGGTGCTTCTTGGGTCAGTGCTCTGCATGGAGACGAACTTTTCTCGTAGAGATTTGAGTCAATGCTGCATCTCTGAGGATAGACTCCCAATGCTTTCCTTTGAGAAGGCATTACATTAGCTAAGATCATCAAGTTTGATCTCCGCCAGTGAGGTGGAGCACCCACGACAGACCCACATGACACTAGAAAAGGTGAGTAAACTTTTAAAATTGAGGTTAGGGGGGCTGTGGGGCCTAAACTGTTGTTTTAAAAGTATAGTGTCGGGGGTACCCACTTGTATTCCTGATAATATAGTGTTCCTTTAACAACTACAGCATACTAAAAATAATTTCCCATTGCCTGTTATGGGCTAAGCCTTGCACTTTTAGTCTTGGCTCAGATGTAAGCGTTTCTGGCTCTGTCGGAAATAGTGAAAGCATTGAGGGGAACCTGGCAGACCCCAACTAGATAGAGCAGGATCAAATACCAGGGAGAGCGTTGTTTGTCAAAACCCTCCGAAACAGTATGACTAAAGGGGAGATGCCCATGGTATCTGCATCAAAGCCTCTACACTGAGCTTTAGTTTTTATGGTGTGTAGAATGCTTCTTTTGATTGAGTTTATGGGGCCTACAATTCTTACACTGCAATGACCCTATCGCATCACACAGAAAAGGGCCACATTAGTTATAGGTGTTTTATTCAGTGGTGTCATTTCTTATGTGATGGTTTCCCTCTAAATTGCTAGCACTTCCTTAAAAATAAAAAAAAGTATCTAAAGGAAATTCAACACTTTTTGTAATGAATCACTGTCATGTTTTTTTTTTTTGTTTTTTTTTTTTTCAAATATAGCTGTGAGAAAACTATGACTACATTTACAAATATTGCCCCAGATTGGAGTCCTCTGAATGCAGTACACATCGCTCCTTGCAACAAATGTCAGGACACTGGTCAGAAACGGAAAATGAATTTAGAAAAGTAAGTGTGTAAGCATGGCTAGCTCATATCACCTTTAAGGAGCCGGATTGCTGAGTCTTTCATAAGAGTTTATTTAAATTATTAAATTGGGCCATTTACTTTTGGTAAAGATTAATTACTATTTTAAAGTTGAACTGACTTCCACACTATATTCTTATATAATTGTTTCATCAAGTTTTGAAAGGAAATGGATTCTTTGTTAAATGAAGTATGTAGGGAAAAAGAGAAAATCCCATCCTCTACCTTTAGAATATGACCAGATCCTTCAGCCATATACATACTTTGGGTTAGACGGTGTTTTAATTAGTTTGTCGGTCTGATGATGTCGATGCCCTGAGCAGGGAGTGAAGCAGCGAGAACCATATAGGTTTTCACACATTATCTAACCCAAGGTGTATGTACATGGCTGAAGAATCCTGTCCTATACTAAAGGTAGGGTAAGGAGTTTATTTTGTTTGTCATTTAACACATAATCTTTTGTTTAAAAATTAAAGGGACACTAGAGTCACCTGAACAACTACAGCTTAATTTAGTTGTTCAGGTGAGATCTATAGCTCCCTGCAGGCAATCTAATGTAAACACTGTATTTTCAAAGAAAATACAGTGTTTACATTGATTGATAGGAATACCTCCAGTGGCCATCACTCAGACGGCCACCAGAGGGACTTCCTATCATGTAGGGCCCTAAAAACGCCTTGTACACGTCAGACGTATTAAAATATGTCTGGCGTGTGCAGGAGAGAGAAGGCACTTTGTGCGCGCCTTCTCTCTCCTGCCTGTCAGCCGAGGAGAGGGGGCGGGCAAAGACTGCGAGCTGAGCTGTCAGTCGCGGTAGTGCGCTCAAGACTTCAGAGGGCGGCATGAGTGCCGCCCTTTGAAGTATGTGCGGCGAAGCCGCGCATGCACACCAGGGAGCAGTGACGCTCCCAAATGAAAGGATCATTACATAGAAAAGTGTTGCTGTGACAGTTGTCCTCAAACATGCCAAATACTTAAGGTGGATTCCCTCCTTCTACACCCCTCTATAATTTGAAACCATTTAAGTTCTGCATAAAGCACAGCACAGACTGGGCTGTAATGGAGTGTTATTAAAATGAATGTTCTATTGTTGCAGGATACATTCTATATTCATGGTTCATTTTGTGGAAGGATTACCAAGCAACAATCTAAAGTTGTATTCATTTAAGTTTGAAGAACACTTGTATGAAGCTAAAGGAGTTATCCGTTATCATGGTGACCATTTTTCGACTTGGATTGCAAACGATGATGGTAAGTGTTACAGTTAATAAATAGAAAATCCTTTACAATCTGGGAAATAGTGTTAGGAATACAAAACTGTGCCTCTACTTTTGTGGCATTGAAGAAAGGGTTAAAACATTTTTTTTTCACTTACCTGATTCCAGCAGCGAGGTCCCTAAGTGTTGGATTGGGCTCCTTCTCCTGTGACGTCGTGGCGATCTAGCTACATAATGCACATGCACATGGCCACCCCCTTAGGAAAGTATTGAATAAATAATTTCCTTTTGGGATTTTCAAGATGCAGGAATTACCTCTAGTGGCTATATGGTAGGGTTAAGGGGACAAAGGACACTGCACCCAGACATCTTCAATGACATGGAGTGATTTAAGTGCCTATAGTGTTTATTTAACTGTGTGTGCAAAATAAGAAAATAAGATTCCTAGTGGTGTTTTCTCATATGATTAAGTCACACATTTACCCTAGCACACATTACTGGCAGATTATCAATTATTTAATCATTTTCTCCCTTTTCAGTACGTTGCAGAATTGAATAGGGTTTAGCTTGTACCTTTTTATTCATTTAATATTCGAAGTTGATGTTGCAATTTGGCCTTTTGGTTTGGGGGTAGTTTGTTGACGAGCAGCAGTCAGGGCAGGAAGGCAGACCTTTTTGGTGCAAAACATCCAGGTCAGTTATTTAATCATGAACTTTAATATCTTTTAAATATTGTTTAATATTTTAGGAACATGGATGGAGTCTGATGACCTGAGAGGATCATACTGCAAAAACCATTTGTGTTTTGGAGTCCCACCTGCTGAGATTCATATAGTAATTTGGGAGAGGAGTACTTCAAAGTTTACTGAAGAGGAAAATCAAAAGTCCACAGAGGGAGATGACTGCCAAGCACTTTCTAGCCACTCTGCATCACCTTCTGGTCCAATCCCATCTCCTGCTTCAACTGAATTGCCAAAAGAAAATTCTTCTGTTCTTCAAGCTGAATCAATTACCCCAAAGAAGTCAGATTTACTTTTTGGATTTGAGGGTTATGCTGATGATGATATTATTACGCTAACTCTTACAGAGATTCCAGTTGACTCTCTAGGAAAGCCAATAGAAACTGATCTTGCTCCAGTCATTGTCACTCCTACAGAACATGCAAATGGAATGGCAACCGTCTCTTCCAATTCAAATACTTTAAATGTTCCTTGTGCTGTTGATCACATACAGTCATCTGGCAAACTGGAACCTGATGTGGCAAAATCAGTTAAGATATTGCATACGAAACCTGCAAGCCATTCTACTGATCTATCCCCTAACAGCGTAGCATCTGTTAAACCTGCAAACCTCTGTGCTGAAACTTCACCAGACACTGTCAAGAAGGGGGTAGTGGGCAGCTGGGTGAAGAGTCTGCTAAACAAGAATCCTTCACTGGCTTCTACCTTAATTGTTTCAAATACAAAAAGTACAACCATTAATAAAGACTATTGCTCCCCTCTGAAGCTAACGGATGCAAAGAAGGCACAAAGTTTTGGTGCATTTAGAGCAAAGGGTGTCTTAAGTAATAACCATGCAAAGGACACACTTCAAAATGGAACCCCTGTTAGATCACTTATGCCAAAATCTAACACCAGTTCTTCTGATCAGACTTTTCATACACCTAGCATTCCAAATCAGTTGACACGAGGGCGCAATGAAACAAATAATGGTAGGTTGCAGGCAAAGGATCGACGCTCATATTCTGAGGATAAAATTCGCAAACTTAGAATAAAATTGTTAAAGAAGCTAAAGGCTAAGAAAAACGAACTGGCTACCTTGGAGACACTTGCAAAAACTCAGCATAATAATTCTACAGCAGATCAAATGAATCCTGCTCCCCAAGCAAACGTCTTCAAGCGGCGTGATCACTTGCGGGACTTTCTTCAGGAGTTACAAGATCATATCGATAACGCCGACAATGAATCTGTATGTACCATGAGTTCCAATGCATCACTTTGCAGCAGCCCAGGAGACGCAGAGTTCTTTGCTGAACTATTTTCTCCGTCATCCACTACCACTGTCAAAGAGAACGATGATAGCAGATTTCTAGAAATGTTAGTCGATGGGTTTAGCACATCTGTACCCAGTTACCCAACAGACTCTCCCCAGTTAAGTGTTAATAACTTTGCCACGTGCAATCCACCCCCTCAAAAGCCTTGCTCAGGAAGTACTAGTAGTATCACAAATAGCAGTTTTGAAAATTCAGCCATGGATGATCACTTTGATTTCCTCTCAATGGAGACGAAGAACGAAGAAAGCCATTATATTGATTCTTTTGATGATATTTTTTAAAACGAAATGCTGCCTGTTGTGTTGAAGTTGATTCTGCCATATCTTGACTTTTTGTGAACTGTATTTCAATTATACCGTTGTAAAATATATTTATTTTATTGCACTTAACTTTTTTTTTTTTTATTTAAATGTGTATGTTTTCAGAAATAAAGTTAAAATTCTGTTTGAGAAAAGAACGTTTGCAATATCGAATAGACACAATTGAAGAGACTGGGCTATATGAAGGGATTTTGATGATTTGTATAAGCTTGATGTGTAGCAGGATTTCAAGTTTCCTTATCCAATCTTCATATTACCAGGACTTAGTTGTATACTTATGGAACCACCATAACTCCATGATTATTTGATTTCCTTTCAGTAGGTCAGACCATTTCCTGCTTTCTAGGATGAAACCTAATAGATCTGATAAGCCTAACTTATTGACACTTTTTTGTAGGAATGTTTATTTTACAGGGAATGAGTTATAAATACATTTCTGACTTCTCGCGTTCTATTTTTGTAGACCGACCCATACTGCTGCTCACCTCCCAACAACTAGGATATGATTGAACATTTTCAGCCAGTAGATTTTTTTTTTTTTTTTTAAATCCAATTGTGTGTGTGAATAGTTCTCAACATACTAAGGAGTAATATTCAATGTACTTGAAATTATTTCAGAGAAACTGCCGTGATGGTCAACTTAAAATTAGTTTTGCTTATCTTCAATGGCACAGTTGGATTTGAACTGAAATAGGCTCAATTGTTAAATTAATTTGGCATCCAATGCCAGTTTACAAAGTATGCTGACACAGTATTCAGTGTTTCTCTATGCAAAGTATTGGTTTGGCAGATCATGGTGTGGGATGCAATAAACACTCCGCTCTCCTTCAAAGCAATGTTCTTTTTATTGGGTGCCAATTGCGAAGACATGTTTCAGTCCTCTCAAATGACCCAATGGTCTCAGAGATCTAAAGAGATCTAAAGCAGCAAAGGAAAACATTCCATTTATTAAATATATATATATAATCTCATAAAAGGAAAAATAGGATGCACTCGCAGGTCTTGGGTTAAAGGTGACTAGTGTCATGGGCCCTCCAGGCTTGCAGTGATAAGTAACTTTTAAGGTCTGGCTAGTCGTGTAGAATTTTTTTGTAAATATGATTATTTGTTTATGTTCAACAAAGAAAAGGGAAACAGTGAACTTTGAGATTCGCAGGTCTCTTTTAACCGGTCTCACATGTAGTAAACCATGTCGGAGACGGTAAACAATACGTTTGGAAAATGCAGGTAATATATATTTGGGCTCCCAGGCGCACCTTAGAGATGGACTTGCAGGTCCCTGGAAGTGATAACTACGTTAACAGTTTGCATTTGGGCTCGCAGGCCCCCATAACTTATGCAGACTCGCAGGTCCCATGCATTATTGGTAGTCGATTGTGAGTGCCTATGTCCCGTGTGTTGTATTCTTGTTTTACACCTTGTGTGCATGTGGGCAATCCATCCCGTGATTGTTGCCCATCTGCGTCCCCTAGACTCCCATGTTGTTTGGGTGATAGAGCTTGATCATTCTATGCGTGTGTGTGTGTGTGAAGTATGTCTCAGATTTCGGTGGCTCCGTGGTTTATGTGGTGTCTATTTTGTGGCGTGCTGGGCCTGTTTTTCTCAGTGTTTCGGCGTAGATAGTTGTCCCCGTTTACGAGGACGTGTGGGTACATGGGTGTCGGCTCTTGTAGTGTGTTGGGCCCCTGTCCCTCTGTTTGGTGATCCGCATTTCCTTGAGTAGCGTGTGTGAGGTGGGTTGGAGAGGGGTGGTAGGTTTAAGCAAGGAAGGAGGGAAAGGATTAGTCGTCCGTCTGTGTGTCAGTCTGTCGTGTGTCCTTCACGTTGGTTGGTCATGTATTAGTGTCAAAAATGTGGGTTTTGTTGTCTCCAGTATCCAATGTGTCCAAATATCTAGGTATGTCTGTTGCTGCGGTCCAGCCGCGTGCATGGTGAGCTCTTCTATCGCTCGTAGTTCTTCCATTTGGGTGAACCACTTGAGCATAGATGGGGTCTCGTTTTTCTTCCAGTATTGTGGTATTGTCTGTTTTGCTATATTGAGTATCCGGATTGTAAGAGATTTTTTTGTAGTTGCATGTGGGCATAGTTGTATGGTGAAGTAGCATGGCTGACGGTTCTAGTGGTGGTGGGTTGTCAGAAAATCGGGATAATAATTTCTGGATGGTTCGCCAGTATGTCTGTATGTACTCGCATTCCCACCATATGTGCAAGGGCGTGCCTGTTGCCCCGTCACATCTCCAGCAGAGGCGGGACCCACTTGTGTGAATGTGGTGTATGGTGTCAGGTGTGCAGTACCACTGCGAGAGTAGTTTGTATGCCGTCTCCTGACTTTTGATAAAAACAGAGCAATGGTGTGTTATATGGCAGATCTTTTCCCACTCTGTTTTGCTAAATGTCCTGTTTAGGGACTCCTCCCATTTCCCCATAAATTTTGGTGTTGCCCAGGGTGTTTGAGATTGTAGTAAAGAGTATTGGAGCGATACGCTCCAATGTGGTAAGGTATCAGGGTCTGTGCATATGTTTTCAAAGCTGGTGAGATCCCTGTTTTGGGCTATCCCCTGCGGGAAGGTCTTCACAAAGCTGCGTAGCTGTTCGTATCTGAAATGGGTTAGGAATGATTGGCCTGCCTCCCCACACATTTCCGTCAAGTCCCTCAGTCCCTGTCCGGAACATACATGTCTCAGCTGAAGTAGTGGGTCCCCAACTAGGGCCCAGAGCGCTTTCTGGACCATGCCCGGTGGGAAGTCTATGTTGTGGGGATGGGTAAGTGGATAGAGCATGTCTTCCCACGCTACTGCGCCATATCTTCAGCGTCGATTTAGTGTATGTGTCTCTCCCCACCTCCCCCCGCATGGGAAGCCACGGAAGAAGAGCGACGGGGACACCCGCCCCGTCTCCTCCGCCGTCTTCGACCAGTCAACAATGCGCTGTAAGTGACACGCCTTATAGTATAGCGCAAAATCTGGCAGGGCTTAGCCGCCCTTGTGTTGTGTGAGCAGTGTGTATTTCAGTCTGGGTCTCCTACTGTCCCACACGAATGCCCCCCAGTGCCCTTCGAAGTGTCTCTTGCACGTGGGATGGTAAGAGGTTGGGATTACAATAGGTAGGGCTTAAAAGAGAGAGAGCAGTCTAGGCAGAAAGTTAATCTTTACGACTTGTATTCTGCCTAGCCAAGATATATGGGGGAACGCCCATTCCCTCATCTCTGTTCGGAATTTGGACAGCATCGGGGCGAAGTTTGCCGCGTATAATTCTGGTTCTTTTGTCGTCAGCCAGGTGCCTAGGTATCGTATTTTGTCTGTGGCCCACTGGAATGCATGATTCCGGCGGAGCTGGGTGGCCCTCTGCTTGGGTAAATTAACGTTTAAAATATGATTTAGAAAAATTAATCTTAAGACCCGATATCGCTCCGAACATGTATTTCCAGCAGACCTTCTCCGCGTCTGTGGAAAGTAGAAGGCCCGTATCATCCCCTGTCTTCCCGTGCATGAGTGTGAGGGCCCAGATGGTATTGTCCCTTGCTTCACGTCCCATTACAAACCCCACCTGGTCGGCATGGACAAGGGAGGGGGATATGCGTCTGGAGCCGGGTCGCAGGATCTTAGCCAGTAGTTTGAGGCCATTATTAATGAGGGATATTGGTCGATAGCTCCCACAATGTTCCCGGTCCTTTCCCTCCTTTGGTATAATGGTAATGTGTGCCATGAGCGACTGTTTGGGGAGGTCGTGCCCTTCCCTAATAGTGTTGAACATGTCCAGTAGTGGGGGGTATAAAATATTTGCGTATCTTTTGTAGTATTTGATGGGCAATCCATCCGGGCCTGGGCTCCTGTCCGGTTTAGTGTTTTTAATTGCGAGTGCCAGCTCCTCCGGAGTGATCGGTTCCTCTGACTGGTCCGTTATTTCCGTCGTCAGGGAGGGGAGTCTATGGGTCATTAGGTACTTGTCAATAGAGTCTCGTAGCTTCTGTTTGTGTGAGTCTGTTCATGGCCGAGGGAGGGAGTATAACTCTGCATAGTAGGCGCATATAATCTCCTGCATCTTGGTAGTGTCCTGTCTTTTGTTTAGCATGTGTGCTAAGAGTTTACCGCTCTTGTTTCCATGTATGGAGAAGAAAGCTTTGTCGTAACGCTTCCCTATGATGTTTAGTGTGTAAGAGTGTGGTCAGTTCCCTCCTAAGGCGGAGGAGTGTGGCCTGGTGCGTGAGGAGTTGTAGCCGTTTATTGAGGGTGTCTATTTGTTGTATGTCCGAAAGCAATGTGGCCATATGGGCCTCTCTCTGTTTTTTTTTTTTTTTGGTTTGTTTTTGTATAAAGTGTCCCCTAACAATGCTTTTGTGTGCCTCCATTCGTATGGTGGGTGAGGTCTGGTCTCTGGTGTTATTTGTAAAGTAGTCTTGTAGCTTTGTCTCTGTTTGTTGTAACGTCTGGTATTGTGAACAGTGATTCGTTTAGCCTCCATTTAGAGATCTTGGGTTTGAACAGGAGGGATTTTAGTGTGATGGTTAGTGGCGTAGTCTGACCATGTCGCAGTTCCCTGATCGACATGAAGCACCAGCGGTAAGTGGTAGCGGGACACGAATAGGTAGTCAATTCGAGTGTATGAATTGTGGGGGTGGGAGTAGAAGGTATAATCCCTCTCGTCTGGGTGGAATGCCCTCCAGCAGTCCACGAGTTTTGCGCTAGCCTGGAGGGTCCTGATCGCTGTGATGTGTTGTGTGGGGATGTGACTGCTCCAGTGAGGAGTCCCATTTAGGGTCTAGGTTAATATTAAGGAATGTCCGGGCAAGAAATCTATATTGCCTCCGATTGGGGGCATAGACGTTGGCAAAGGTATATGTCGTGCCCGCTTTCTTCCCTTTGAGAAACAAGAAACGTCCCTCTGGGTCCGTCAGGACCCCTGTCTCTATGAATGGGAGTCGCCTGTTCAGGAGAATCGCTGTTCCCTGTGACTTTCCTCCC